CTTTTCACATCCAGAGAAATATTCTGCCTTTTCAATATTTCCTAGGATATTTCATTTTTCTGGGAGAGGGCTGGATGATAACTTCCCACAGTGGGTAACTCAAGGCCACAGTCTGTTGATGGTGATGATTGTGATTTTATAGCAGAGAATTTCCCTTATCTTGAGAGGGATTTTTTTCAGGTAGTTTTTGAATAAATTATATTATATTAAGCCTATTTGAAGTCAAGTTTTTGTGTTTCCTATCTCAGAATGACAGAAAGCAAGTAGGTAGAGGTTATTTTAAAAGTTGCAAAAAAGAGTTTCAGATATGGTCCTGCACTGCAGATTGCCAAGGTAATGTTATTTTTCACTTGACATAATGCACAACTGTTTCATTCTTCTTAAATATGGACAAACCAGTCTTCAAATAGAGAGATATTCAGAGATTCCTAGACTTTCTCTTTAGTCATTCAGACATTTAGCACATTCCAAAATTGTTTCTCCTTACCTGTGGTTCCAGAAGTAAAAATGTACAGAGATATAGAATTAATTGTGACATTGGCTCTGTAGGAAGCAGGCACAGGTTCATCTGAGCTCAGTTTAATCTGTCCAAGTAATGCCTCTACACCATCAGAGGGGGAATCATCACTGAGATAGAAAACTTGTAACCCTTCATCTTTTAAATCAGGCAGAACATCTTCAATTGCATTTTTAAAATCTGAAAAGAAGAATGAAGGTATAGCTTTGACTGGATCTTATTTCCTACCCTTATTTTGCTAATTACATTATTCTGCACATAGGCAAGCAATAATAAATTAAAATTCCACTTGAGTTGAGCTTGTTTATTTCATAGCTCATGAATGAATCATGGACAAATTCTTGATTTTAATTGTTGGTTATAGATAAATCAATTCAAATCTTTCTGAATTGCCTTTCTATATATCACAATGTCTAATTGCTTCTTGATTGAATCACTCTTGCAATTTTATGAATTAGGAGATTCAGGCCTCTTTTTCACAGAGGTTTCCTGTAGTGTTTCACTGAATTAGAATCAAGACTTAAAAGTTTTTAAGGACATTATCAACTCTATTGGTTTATTTAATTCTGGATGCCCTTCCATTCCACTAGAATGAATTATAATTAACTTTCTCAACTGCAGGAGTGTGCATTTTCCTATTTACATTCTTACAATATTAGGATTATATGGCAGTATTCTAGAAATATAATTCCACCACTTCAGTAAATCCATTATCTCTGGTCAATGTAATTGTAGAGGTTCCGAGTGATGGCAAAGTATAGAAAACATTCCTCCAAAGTGTTTTTTGCTCTCCAACTACCAGATAAATTTTGTATTAAAAGCATTAGACAGTTCAGTTTTTACTTTATGTTGCTATATTTTGAATTATTTTAAAATATATCTAAAATTAAGGAAGTTTTCAGAGCTTTTTTACGTTAGATATTTACAGTCATTCAAAAGAACTGCCCTTCTAGTCCTTAGACAATGATTTGGGCAACCAGATGTTGCAGGAAGCACCAAATACGCATCTGCCACCTGTAATATATTTTATAACATAGCAGTACTATCACCACCAACCCACGTTCAGGGAGGTGGCCATAACTGGCTAGTTTGGCAGCAGCTTATTATTATACCCAAGTATAGTAGTATAATATTTGTGAAGAAACAAAAGACGTCCCTGTATTTAAAGGAAGATTAGAGTAGGTACAGTATGCCAGTGATGTGCGGTGAGGTTTATGGCTGGTGAGGCACTGACACAAATTTTTTTAGACTTGTGGACTTCAACTCCCAGAATTCCACAGCCAGNAACTGGAAAAAGAGAGATGGTTATATTTAGTTGTGTATAAATATGACAACCTCAATGCAGGGCCCACGGCCCACAGGGGGGCAATTTAATTTTTAATGGGGGCAATTTGAACCTTATTTAAACCAAATTAATGGCCTTTTAGGCTTCCTCCACATGAGTAGAATTCACTTTTTGAGTAAAGTAAGAATTATAGGTCATGAGGGGGGAGGCATCAGGATTTTAGAGATCCTTAGGTGGGGCATGGCCAAAAAAAAGGTTGGGAACCACTGCTCTAGATTATGATTATGCTCAACAGTATTATTTCATCATGTAGGAAGATGGCCCCATACTGGGAATACTTCAGTTGCCAAGACTGATATTTCGTAACATGTATGTCACGTATATTGCATTTCAAACAATACTTTGTCCATTTAAAACTAAAAGCTTCTTTTAGCATCCACGTACATATATCTATGTTTCTTAACCTTGGCAGTTTTAAGATGGGTAGACTTTAACTCCCAGAATTCCACAATCAGTCCATCCATCTTAAAGTTGCCAAGAAACACTGATATAGATATTGAAAAGGTGGGTTCAGCCAGATCTAACATCAGAAAAGTAATATATCACTTTTCCGGACAAAACAATTCTTATAATCTTCAAGGAGACTTGAATTATAAGAATCAAAGTTCAAGCAATAATTCTAAATTGAAGATGCTGCAATGGTAACTGGGATTGTATTTTAATCCATCAACTTCCTAGATTCTCATTAATATGTCTGCAACATCCCAGTTTAATTTCGTTACCTTATAGAGGTAGCTAATTCTTCCTATAGCTCCAACTTTCCCAATGTAGTTAATAAAGCCAAGATTGCCTTCTGTAGCTCCATAGAACTCATAGATCTTCAGGCATCCAAATCGACACAGAAATTCTTTCCAGACCTCTTTCCTCATGCCATTGCCTACGGCCAGTCTCACACTATGATCACGATCATTGTCCTTCTGCAAGAGAAGGATTAACAAGAGAGTCTTTACAGCATTCAATAACGTTTATTAATATATACTTTCTTTGTCATCTATGCTAAATAGGAGTCAAACATTATTCTTTTTATTCCTAAAACATCTTGGCTTGATTGCTACATTACGGTAGGTAAGGGTGCATAGGAAAAACATGCACCATATTAGGTGACTTTGCTAGTAACTTTTTGCACATGCATATTGCACACCCTAATTCTAAATTGGCTGGAATGGTTGCAGTGATGTTTGGTGGACATAGATCAAGACCGGAAAATCTTATGCCTGCAGTTTGAATGCAGCATATGAGAAATTCTGTGCTTTCTATTAGATTCCCATCAAGTTCCAACCATTCTTTAAGATCTCACCCATTCTCCCTGCCTCCTACATTTTTTAGTCTGAGCCAAAAGAAAATACAGATTGTCCTCCATTTACAACCAGTTGTTTGATGACCATTTTAAGTTACAACAGACTTCCCAAAAGCTACTTATTATCTGCACCCCTTGGTCATATGACCAAATTTTGGGCACTGACATTAATTCATATTTATGGCTGCTTGCAGTAAACCATGGTTACAACAGTTTTCCCAGAAATCAAGGTTTACTGCCAGTTTCTTGCAAAACTGTCCTAAAGTAAGCCATGGGTTTGCCATTTGCTTAGCAATGCTATGGAAAAGATCATAAAATTATAAAATCATATAGTGACTCAGTTTACAACCATCGTGACTTATATCACAATTTGAACACTACTTCTCCCTCTTCTTTCATACCAGCATCTGACTGCAAAGAAAATATATTTTTAGGCAAAATTGTAAATATACTCCTTCAAGCTTAAAGCTGCATAGGTTCTCCTCCCCTCCTGAGGACTAATCCTTATCCCCTAACCCCCACCCCAAAACTGTAGGTGTAAAGTATTATTTTAAAAGAGAACTCCATTGTGATCAAGGGAGAAATGTCAAGGCCTCAAGGTAGCTGGAGGGGCATTTTTGAACAAAGGTGCTATTGGAGACTGAAAAATTGTTCCTCAAAACAAATAACAGACACAATAGGTCTTCAAAATAAATCTCTACTGAGGTCATTGGAGGTAGTTTAAAGCCTAATTTCCAAGTTGTGAGATTAGAAAGGGCAGGGTTTTCAGGAATGTATGAATGCAGAAGTTAATATGTAAATTGAGTATTTATGTATGCATAATAAAGTTATATTCCCAAGGTACAAGGAAAATGGCAGAATGATTCATTTTCATTCTTTGAAATTCTTCATCTCTTCTTCTTCCTCTCCCACTCACCAAATTTATTTATTCATTAATCTATTTATTACTTTACTTATATGCCTTTTCTGATTACCTTTGGTGCATTACATAAATAGCGCATTGTTTCGCCCACATATTGGATTACAGAAACCTGATATCGCCTGCAGTCATTCCAGAAATTTGAAACAGAGAACTTCGACCCTAAAACACATGTAGCTCCTTATGAAAAAAAACAAAACAAATAAGGTTGTATGTCATAATATAACGAAGCAACAGAAAAAAATATGTTCCAATCAAAAAGTGGAACAAGTGGAACAACAGACTTAAATACCATCAAATTAAATTAAAGTATGGGATTTGGAATTTCTCCTATATTTTAGGCCTGCGAAAAACCACCATCTCCTCGACTGAGTGCTAAAAACAGTATCTTGAAGAATGAATTCCAAATAGAAGATTGTTTTAATTAGAAAACCAGTGTGGGTTGAAGGAATGATAAGCATTTTGCAGATCTGACAGCTGTTATTTCTTCCAAATAAAATATGGCCACTAAAGAATACTTTTGAAAAATCAAATCCTGTGTTTTTGTCTGTTGATTACTCTGAACAAATGACTCATTGTGTTTTCCTGAAGGCACATTTTTTTCACATTTAAATTCTCTCCCCCTCTTTTTTTTTTTTCATTTTTTTTTTTCAAATTATGGGATTAGATATTTAGTTTGCAGATTCTGGGAATTTTTAATCTAAATACTTCTGGAAGAAACCTGATTGGGATGATCCAGAATGTGAGTGGTGTCCTTCATTTTTGATGCTGTTTTGACCATTTTTCCTATTTGGATTATATTTGTTTATTAATTCCGTATTTAGGTATATGAAATGAAAAGTGTACAACATATTTCTTTCTTTTTCATTATCCTTGTTTAGACAATCCAGTAATCAGAGATTTCTGAGTCAAAACAACTTACAAATCATTTTTTAAAAATAAGTTAAACAAACTATTCATGTATTCTAACTCTCTTCCTTTCTTTCCCCCTACTTGTATTACTTGCACTGTACAATAAGTACAGTGCTCATGTACTTATTGATGCATAGGTGGTACATACCAACATCTATGCATCCTCCAATTCCAACAAGAAGCGCAGCCGAATGGTACAGTGGCAACGGAGTGTAGATAATATCCTTGGCATTGATGTCACATAAGAAAAATAAATTGGATATCATGAGCAGCTTCATTTGGTTGATGATAGCAGCTTTTGGTAGTCCTTAAAAGAAAAGGAAGGGAACATAAGGAACATTCTAGCTATGGAGCAGCACCTATTCAATCTTGACGGTCCAAAAAGCTAAAATGCATAAGTCCTAATTACTAATTGAATTGAATGGGAGACCACCAGAGCTGTAAAAGAATCTTAGAATGTGCCAAAAAGATGCTGGCAAACTACTTATGTAAGTTGCTAAGAAAACAACAGCAAGATTCCATATAATCACCAAGGGTCAAGCTTAGCTGAAAGGAGATTTGATAATGCTTTAATTAACGTCATCTATATTGTCATTTAAGATTTTGTGGTGTTGAAAGAAATGTCCTTCTGGGTTCAGCTCCAAGTGGGGAAGAAGACACTGGAGACATGGAGGCTGCTTGGA